GCGTCGCCTGTAGGCGTACACCCGGGACCGCCGCTACTTGCTTTCCGAATCCTCTCCAAATCCCCTGGGAGAGACATCCTAGATGAAAGTTTAGGGTCAGTAGCCTAACCCAGGTGAAAGTTAAAGGGGGAAAAAAAAAAAGAAAGAAAGAAAGAAAAGAGGGGACTGACGTAGTGCAAGTGGAGCGGCGGGAATCTTGAACTCCAAAAAGGATTGGTCAGTTTGCCGGGAGAGTGAGCCAGCTGCCAAGTAGCGGTGCTCAGGGGAGGCCCATGGGAGGCGATGTGGGAGGGAGGACAGCCGCGCGGCCGAGCCGAGGGGACGGAGATGGAAGCCCACCGGCGACCGGCGTGAGTTGGGGTTCGCCCCGGGAGGCCCCCGCAGGTATCCACGCCGCGCGCTGCTATGGGAGGTGTGACCCAGCCGCTCCCACGCCGCAAGGGCGAGCGCACTAACGGTCCTGCTGCGGACGCCCGCCCTCCCTCCTAACCGCCTTAACAAGGGCCGCGTTCTGCGGCCCCAGCCCGGCCCAGAGGATGGCAGGATCCGAGCAAGATAGGCTGAGTAGGGCGGAGTTTGCTGTAGAGGCAAAGCGCGTGGGGCAGGATTCCTCGACTGGCAACATCAGGAAACTTGCTGCCTAGGTCCGCAGTGGACCTCGCGGCAAACTTAGGTCTTGGGCAGCCGAGTGGACCGTAGCTGGAGTTGACTGAGAAGGAACCAAAGGAAACAGGTGGAGAGGCTTGCAGCCTATAGAGACTGCTTTTCCCATCTGGAGAACAGAATCCTTTATGTGGTTTCCCTCCTTAGGAGTCTTGCACCTGGGGCCCACCCCGGGATTTGTAGATGAGATTACCAGGAGCGCTGTGTAAGGCGACAGCGGCGTGCAGACCCACTTTGGGACAGGTACCGTTTCTAGAGCTGTCGGCTCTCTTAGTTCTTCCCGCTCCCTGCATCCTTCAGCTTCTATTCTTTTCGTGACCTTTATTTTATTTTGTAAACTATCTTTCCAAACCACATTTCTATCATAAAATCAAACTTGAGCACTATTTCGAACGGCTTCTTTTTGAAGAATAAAATTGAAATATTCAGTTTTCATAATATACATCTTTTTCTTAGTTTGCAAGTCCCAAACGAATAAAGTCTTAATCAAACTGAATTATGTTCCTGGTGAATATCAAACACGGAATCAAAGAACTCTTTCTTGGATTTAAAATTCTACTTTTGACTGCAGTTCTGATACGTTTTTCTGAAGTACAACATTCCTTTATGTGATAGGTAACAAGTATTTATAAGCAACGGGCAAGGAAGGCAAGTATGCTGTGTTTTTCAAAATGAAAGAAAATGCAGGGTTTGGAAACCTTACGTATCCAGAAAAGGGTTCTTTAATATATCATTCAAGTTTTTGGAGAGATTTTTAAATTTTTCATCTTTTATCTGGGAATTATACTATTCCTTTTCTGTTGGCATAAAGACGATTGTGAGAATTATATTAACTGAAAGGAAAAGTTAGTCTAATGGTTGAAACAACTTGACCTGATCTCACAAATCTTCACTCTGAATCTTCTTCCTTTGCAGATTATTGTAATCTTTTCAAGAAAGCTGCAGCCTCCCCTATATAGAACTGTGACAGCAATGAGCAATTATGCTGATTGAATCTTGAGGCAAAATTGATTCATAATAATGTTTATAACAAGCCACCAGAATGGGAGGGGGCAATAATAATCGAATATGATTCAATTTTCACTGAATCCAGAGCTTAAAGTGTTCTATGAATGAAACCTGTCCCTCAGAACTGAAGATGGTCTTCCAAGTATATGGAACAATATAATAAATTTTTGTCTTAACCTAAATTTTATATATATATATATATATATATAGTAGTTGGACACATTACTTTCATTTAATTATTTTAGTTTTTAAAAAATATTTTTTATTTGCAGTTGGACACAATACCTTTATTTTATTTATTTTTATGTGGTGCTGAGGATTGAACTCAGGGCCTTACACATGCTAGGCGAGCATTCTACTGCTGAGTCATAACCCCAGACCTTAACTTAAATTCTTTACATCTTTTTAAATCCATTTAGTTTTCCATTTAGTCCGTTTCTTTGCTTACATTCTCAAAATAATTGAAGAAACTGTTGCCATCCAGTCTTCTGTTATTTGAATATTTAATTTTGTTTCATATTAGCTTGCTTGTCTTCCTTTATCTTCATGTCTTTCTGAGAGTCAAAAGATATCAGAAGACTTCACAGATCAATTTATATTTTTATCCTAAAGGAAATACTTCAAATGTTTGCTATTATTTCCTTTTCTTGAGGTAAAACTACATTAGCATTCCCTGGGAAGATTGGATATATCTTCTGTTCAGTTTCAGAAAACAGGTCATCAGAATGGTAGTAAGAATTGTCAGAACCTCAGAAGTTCTGAGGTTTTTAGCATCTTCTGTTCTTGCAGAGGAGAGGCAGCACAGGAAAGCTAGTCTTCTCTGGATAGTGTTCCGCCTATGGAAACTAAGATAAGAAATGTAATACTCAGGACCAGATCCACTTATTTAATGTGTGTCATTGTCTGCAGCCAGTGCACCCCCCCCCCCAGGGGAATCATGGACAATCTTAAACTTTAAAGGAAAATAAAACTTATCTAAACAAGGATATTAGTCATTGTTATTTTATGATGTTTGTTCTCATGATCAATATTCTTTTAAAAGTTCCATGACTTAAGTTAAAGAATTCAATCTTGTACTTAATATATACCCTTTTATTAAATTCTAAAAAGAATCAGCATAAGGGGCTGGGAGTTGTAGCTCAGTGGCAAAGCACTTGTCTAGCATGTGTGAGGCACTGGGTTCAATTCTCAGCACTGCATATAAATACATAAATAAAGGTCTGTCAACAACTAAACATATATTTTAAAAAAGAATCGGCATAAGGAAGGATTTTGTATGCTAGGAATGGAAGGGAATTTAACATGTTAAGAAAATACACTTTCAAAAACTGGCAAATTGTGAAGTTTTTGGATGACACACTGCTACTAAACACTTGAATTGCTAAAATACACTGGCAAGGAGATGAGTATTTACCATCACCTGTTTTTCATTAAAATTCATATTCTAGATAGATTTTAGACCTTTGCACCTGGAATAATTAGGTAAAAATAAACATAATGAAAGTAGAGTGATCCAAAAGAAAACCACCTAGGAAAAATTTTCTTTCTGATCCAGTAGATGTAATTATAGAAAATTATTTTTTGATTTTAACTTTAAAATGTTTACCATTGTACTGATTTCCAACTTGCTATTATCAAGAAATTAACTTTCTTTCCATAAATATTTGTAATTAGTCACAGAATTTAGGATTTGGAATAAATTTCTTCTGTGGCCACTGCTTTTTTCTACCTGTATCTTTTACTGGCCCTAAACTTTTCCTATTATATTGAGAATATGATTATACTGAGAACATTACTATTTCTAGATATTTACAATGAGAGCATATTAGAACAGGAAAGGATCTTAAATATCACCTTATTGAAAATAAGCCAGGAAGCTCCTTAAGTCTTTGCATTTTGTTTGAAATAGAATTTGGTATATTTTTACAAGTTCAGATTTATTTGCACTCAAGTCTTTGTTTGCAAGTGAGTAAAGCAAAAAACAGATACTTAAGTTTGTAGTATCACACTGGTAGTGCTAAATTCTCACAGTTGGTCTTTTGTGATAATTGAAGTGAATATTTATGTGCAATCAGCTTTGGAACTAGCTAGACACGGAAAGGTTTGGCTCACAACTTGAATAGTAATTCATTTGAGGCAAGGTAAATAATTGATGTTTCCTCTTCTTGAAATGAAAAGGTTGGATTAGAACACAGTTTGAACATTCTAGGATTTAATTCTAGGTTTATTTTGTTCTTGCCATGGTCTTAAAAACTTAAGAATTGCTATGTAACAAAGAGCACCTAGCCAAATTAAAATATCCCAAGATAAGTGGAGATCATCTTCCCCACAATAAATATCAGTGTCTTGGAGAAATTGGCCAACATCTACTGAATAACTGACAAACTAAGTTATTCACAAATGCCTTAATATGTTTTATGAGGAACAAAACTCAAAAGATTAACTCTTTCAAGGCTAAGGCTGCACACATATTGACAGGGCAGGAGATTGAGACACATTCTTTTCCTACTATGCTGTGCTACCCATAAGAAATTTCTGTATTTGGTAATGAAAGAAACATTTCCAAATGGATTTCAAGTGTATGTATACACTTACATTCAAGGATAGTTAGGGTTGATCAAAAGTCCTACTGTGAAACCTCTGAAGGGAACAGTAAATAGAGAATGATGGACCTAATAATCTAGTCCCAATTTTACTCAATCACATTTATGTTGAAAATAGCTTTTTCAGATGCAAAGCAAGTAAGT